CTTTACAACAGCACTCGGTGTATTCTCGCTCGGCCACCAGGGATCGCTCAACCGCGCGTCTCTGATTGCGCCCGCCTGCCTTTGCAACGCCATGCCGCCACGCCGTCCACACCGAATCGATGCTCGCCATCGCTGCCGCCGCCGCCGTCTTCAACTGACCACACAGGGTGCCCCCCATCCCTCTAAGGGTGGGTACCCATTTATCTACTTGCAATTAGGTTGCTTTCGAACCGCTGGGTAGGTGGGAACTGGGGACGAAGGTCGAGAGCTCACCTCGACCACGGTGGTACTCGAACAGCCATAGTGGCTGTTCGGATGATGTTACAGAGCAGGCGTTTAACTGCCTGCGCCACCGCTCCCCTAAATCTTCTATAAATTTTGCTACAATATGGCTACCTCTTTTGGAATATTTAGTTCATCATGATGTAATACCAGATGTAGTAAATGATTTGAATCTGTGGTAAGATTTGTCATATACAAACCTTTGTTGATAACGTTTAGTATTATATTTGTGATACTCTATAATTTTTTATTTCTGTATCAATATGAGATTTTATATTTCTTGCTAACTTATTTGTAGGTTATGTCATTTATCTTCAAACTGTTCTGTTTTATTCTTTTTTCTTTTTTGTACTTGTGTTGGAAAATTAATAAAATTTATATAAAAATTTATAAAAAAGGGACTGTACAACTAATAGCATCTTATATTTTTATGTTTTTATCTGTATTGTATTGTTGTATATTGTTTTATTGGTACTTGTGTTGGAAAATTAATAAAATTTATATAAAAAGTAATTAAAAATGAGCTATACAACTAATAGCACCTTATATTTTTTATGTTTTTATCTGTATTGTATTGTTGTATATTGTTTTATTGGTTTTACCGGCAATTGGTGCCATCGGTGTAAGCTTGCGGGGAGGGCGGGGTATAAATTTAATTCAACAGCAACAGCAACCACCACCACTCCCACCACGTGTTACTGGGTGCCAATAAACAGATTTTTATCCAACTCCCTGGACTCCGACTGTGTGTTTCACATCCGACCCCGGGAGCACACGGGGCACAGATTTGTGCATCACTTGGGTAATCTTACTGTTGCCAGTTTCTTCTGGTGGCTACTTGTGTCGGGAGAAGGATAGACTATTGAGAGTGGAGAAAGATG